ACAGAGCAGACCGACACATTAATACATTTTTTGAACAGCTAGAGAAAGTGTTACATAAATTAAACACCAAATACAAAAATAAATATATTATATTGGGAGGTGACTTCAATATAAACATTTTGAACAAAAATAAACAGACGGAGAATCTTATCAACTTAATGTTTTCAAACAATCTCAAACAGATTATCAGAGAACCAACACGTGTATCAAAAGGCTCCTCAACCTGCATCGATCTACTCTTCACTAACCACATGCCCATTATTAATAAAGCCAGCGTCCAAGATTATGGTCTCTCTGATCATAAGGGTATTACACTAAAAATAAAATCGAAACACTCTTTTCCTAATAATAACACAACCTGGTACTTACAGAAAAGACTATTCACAGAAAGGAACATATTACAGTTTAACACTTCATTAAATGACATAAAATGGCACGAAATAATCAACACACACAACAATTTAAACACCAATTACGATTTATTTCTCAATATATTGACTAAATTACTTAATACACACATACCGATAAAAAAGCTGAAAATAAATAATAAACCAAAAAAAGAATGGCTCACTACCGGCCTTAGGAAATCATGTGCACACAAAAGAAAATTAAGGGCCTTTCTGAATGTGAATGATAATGATATTATACATAAATTTTATAAAAAGTATAGCCAAACCCTAAAGCGTAGTGTAAACATATCAAAAAAACTTGATTTTTGTAAACAAATGGAAAACTCCGATAATAAAACAAAAACAATGTGGAATATCATAAATCAAAAAACAGGTAAACAAAAAAAAGACTCCCTCCACAAAATATATCATTAAAAATTAACAACCACATTGTAACATGTCCAACAACTATTTGCAACAATTTCAGTGAGTATTTTGCTACTGTGGGTATGGGCACGAATAACAATAAAACCAACAAAAACAGTGCGCTGGGTCGACCCGTCATAAACTCACAAATGTGCTCCATGTACTTGCGTCCTGTAGATAGAAAAGAAATAATCGACATAATACGCTCAATTAAAAATACACACAGCTGTGGCATAGATGAAATCCCCCCAATTCTATTGAAACAGTGTGCAGAAAAACTGTCAATACCGCTCACATTTTTAGTTAATCAAAGCCTTCAAGATGGCCAATTTCCAGACCCCCTAAAGATATCAATAATCAAACCGATACACAAAAAAGGCGACACCTACACACCTAGTCATTATAGGCTCAAACTACATTGCTCTGTTACCCACATTTTCGAAAGTATTTGAAAAAACAATGTGTAACAGATTATACGATTTTTTAGAAAAATATAACATTCTCGATGATAGTCAAAATGGATTTAGAAAATCAAGATCAACTACACTAGCAGTATATAAGTATATCCAGACTACCATAAAACATATAAATGACAAAAAACATGTACTCGGAGTATTACTTGACATGACGAAAGCCTATGACAAAGTATTGTACGACATTCTTTTGAATAAACTAAGCGGTTCTGGTATTCGCGGCCCAGCTTACACATGGTTTCGATCATATTTAGAAAATAGATCACAAATGGTCCAAATTGACCATTTCGACCCCAATACGAATGAGGTTAAAATAGTCCGGTCTGAAAAAAGGAACATAAAGTGTTCAATCCCGCAGGGCAGCGTGTTGGGTTGTGTGCTATTTCTGATATACATCAACGACTTACCAAAAGTACTAAACAAGGAACATACATTACCTGTCCTATTTGCTGATGATATATCAATACTAATTACTTATGACAAAACCACAAAGCCGACACCACTACTTCAGGAAACTCTAGATACAGTAAATAACTGGCTCAACGACCATAACTTAGAAATTAACTATAACAAAACAAAAACTATCCAATTTAGAACATACAGAAACACCCCCGTAAACATCGACACAACATACAATGGCACACAACTAGAAACTGTAGATACATTCAAATTACTTGGTATAACTATAGACACACACATCAACTGGAAAGCACACATCGAACATACAAAAAATAAACTGTCTCGATTTACATATGCTCTATTCCAACTTAAATGCAGCACAAACGTAAAAACCGCACTGTCAGCATACTACGCATACGCATACTCCTGGTTACGATACGGCATTATGTTGTGGGGAAACAGTGTACACTTTCAGGATTTATTTATATTACAAAAGAAATGTATTAGAATTATCGGACAAATTGGAAATCGTGATAGTTGTAGGCCCTTCTTCATTAAATATAACATCCTCACACTACCATCATTATACATATTTGACATCTGCATATTTGTATCCAAGAACATGAGTCACTTCGCGAGAGTAAAAGACAATCACAATTTAAACACACGCCACAGAGACAGACTATACCTACCACCATCAAGAATTAAAATGCTACACCAGAGCCCTTACTACATGGCTGTAAAAATATACAACAAATTACCTATCCACATAAAAAATGAAACGAAGACTACACTATTCATTAAAAAACTAAAAGCATTCTTAATTACAAAATGTTTCTATTCTGTTAAAGAATACATTGAGGAAAAAAACACTTAACAAACTACATTTCTTATTACACGGAAAACAGAAAGCATATACCTAAGTACAAATCATAAAAAGAAAAATCGGTCGTGATGCTCGGAAATGCTAGGGACAGTAGGAAAATGTGTATATGTATTAGTGATGTAGAATGTCGGGTGCCTTCGTATTTTTGCATGCTTTATTTGATTGTTATACTGTACTATTAAGTCACTTAATTTGTATTGTTCAAAAAATGCTTGTACTTGTGTAACAATTTATTCTTCTGCGTTCTCTCTCAAATTTTTGCAATGCCTGGAGAAGGCTTCTGAGTTGGGACTACTACATATAATATTATAAGATCATTGATGTACACTTGGTTGGCAAATAAAGATTTGATTTGATTTGATTTGATTAGTTACAAGCAATAGAATAACGTTTGAAGTAAGTCTTTAGAGGTCTTATTTAAAGTGTTAGGACGTATTGAAGTGTTTTCATACTTACCTAAATAATTTTTAAACTGTCCATTATTTTTGTTATTTTATTGTCGAACAAATTAAAACTAATCCTTAAGAAGTTATGTACAAAAGATGGTTACAATCCGCTTACCCGTTTCAGAGATCCAGCAAACCCACAAACGTTACTCCAGCAGGATTTCGAATAACTTCGCAGCCGAAGAAAATACAAATACCAAATAAGTTGTAACATTTACCTAGTCCAGATAACTAATTATTTAGCTAAAATTTATTTCAATATTACAATTAAAAAAGAAAATGTCTGGCTGCGGTAACGTTTCAAACGTTACCCCAGCAGGAAATGTTTTTTTGAAATAACTTAAAAACTTTAAGTGAAACAAATTTAAAAATGCGCCTAACAATTACAGAAGGGGAGCAACTAATTACCTATAACGTTTAAATGACCATTTTCGACATTATTTTGCTGGGGTAACGCACACCATTTAGCCATGAAAAAAGCTTGCAAATTTAACATATTATGAAAACAACTTATGTATTGACATACATAAGTTGTTTTTATAATATGTTACCGTTTACAAAGGTTAAATGATTACAATATAATTATTGTTATCATTTAACCTTTGTAAGCATTAATTGTATGGAAATATCGTTGGTAAATAATAGCAAGCGTCTCAGCGCTAAACAGATACATCGAAATCGCTATATTGTAAGGCTCATGTATAACCCCAGCGGATATTATTCGCCTCTTGAAAAGTAGTTAAATGCTTTAATTAAAACCCCTTGATTTAAGTATAGCAATTTAATTTCATTCCGCCGTTGGTGTGAGTCGAACCGTCCGGCTCTCTTAATATAGGTTGAGCTCAATGGCCGACGCGTGTCTCATGCTTGGGATAGTGCCATTGGTCGAGCATTGTAATCTTGTTACTGCTGTTAATTCAATATAGTAATAATTTGGTCTAATTGTTCGTACTTTGGATACACTATATTATTGGACTGGCCTGTTGGCCATCTGGTCAGGGATCTTAAATGCAAAGCCAGGGGTCGTGAGTTCCATTCCTATCCTGGACAATAATTGTTTGATGAGCAGGATCATTTCTTCTGTATATGGGTGTTATTGTCCTTGGCCTCTTGCCCGTTCTTTTCCATAGCATCCGGGTATCGGAACAGGTAACTTGCTTCACGGCTGACTTATTCTGCCCGACTTCTACTCTTGATAGTTCGAAGTTGGCTTATTACAATGAATAAAATTGATTGCCTGGGTCCTCTCCTATTTATGGCTACAGTACCTTAGATAAACTGTTGACGTCAGTTTATTTTCATTACACAAATAATGGCGGCAAATAACTGCACATATGGCGTTGTGGTTTAAGCGCGCTAAGTGTTGTGGGTTCCATCGCCACACGGGACAACACTTAGTGTGATCCAAAAATTGTTGTTCTGAGTCTGGGTGTCCTTTGTGTCCATTTCGTGTATGTTAGTAAAGTTCTACGCGACACAGTTTAATAACATATTCCAACTGCGGGAGTTGTCTTAAAAAAATTCAGATCATCATAGTTTAGTGCTGGTATTCGTAGCAGTAATGTTAGTCGTAGCAGACGGATGGTTGGGATTCAATATACTCAGGAGTAATAATAGAAAAGGATTTCGAATGGACAGACATCCAATTTAGCTCTGACCGTACAATAAACTCGAAATGAGTAATTTTAATTTCTAACCTAATCTTTTCTAACCTAAATCTAAAGTGCATTAAAATATGAGTATTTTTACGTGTGAAAACCCCCCGGGACATCGCCCCACCGTGGAGTCGAGGGCGGGGCGGATTCAATTAAAACCACACGATGTGCAACCCTGCGCTTGAGGACCATGAGGGATCCGGGAACAGCAGCTGGTATTAACTTCCGGACCCCTCCTAGCGGCTTCCAACAAAAGGTCGGGTACCAACTTGCCCAATGACTTAAATTGTTTATGAATATTTTCCAGGGTTTCCGTCCCGAAAATTATGGGTTACATAGACCGGATGATCGACATACAACTTGCATTTGGTTACGATGTTGGCAAGGTAAGGAGCATCAAATTTATGTATGACCGTGAGAGAGCCATTGCATCATCATCACATAGCTTTTAATAGTTCACTGTTGGAAATAAGCTTCTCCTTAGTAAGGAGTTTTTGGCCACGCTGGCCAGACTGGTTGGTATAGGGTTTGTGACAAGTTTTCCTTCTCTTTGCAGTGCTGTTGTTCTGCGTAGTTTGCTCCCTTGGTCGGCTCTTACGAAATCCACGGGCTCTTAAGAAAAGGGGTGATGTTGGATGCTTCGACATACTTATACATGGAATGGGCCGGCTTGACCCGAGACCACGCCCGCACAGAAAACCGGTGTAAATATTTGGTTGCTTTTCACTGCTTCGGTGAGGTTAATGGAACTCCCTCCTACCCTCTCCTAATTCTAGGGGAAGAGCACTCTAAAGGTGGCTAATCACTTGTGTCTCTGAAGTGGTAACTAGGTGTCCATCGGCGGCGGTAGTCACCTACCAGCAGATGACCCGTCTGCTCGTTTCATCCCCTTTACCATAAAAAAACTGACGACAAGTCTGTAGTTAATAAAGAGATTTGTATTAGTTTAGTAAATAATTAAGGAAAATAAATATATAATAAATACTTACTATTGTGTCTCCCAAGGGTTTCGTGACCGGCGCACAGGAAGTTTGCACATTACTGCCACAGCTCGTGGACAACAAGCAAATACAAGATATGCTCACCGCCACTTTAGATAACGACAGGTATGAAATGTTTTCTCTTTGTGTTAATACTAATATGCATAGAGCTATTGAAGAGACTTTAAATTCTTATAACTATCATTACAAAACCTGTTCAGGGTACATCACAATTCGTTTAGTAATTGAAGGATAGGCTTTCTCTTACATACTTACCGGTTACGGTTGCTCCAGGAAGTAAATGTATCACTTAGGTTGGTAACTTATGTCTGCCTGGCAATATTGATAACCTACGTATTGATCTAGTGGTAATTGAACCTCACTGCTAAGCCGTAGGTGATCGGTTCGATTCCCACTCAGGACAAATATTGTGTGATGTGCACGATCATTCGTTCTGTGTTAATTGTAAGTTGTTTACATAGAATATGCATGTATTTAGAAAGACGAGTATATAACGTGTATTTTTTCATTTGACGAATCTTAAAACCACATATTCTGCACTTTATTTAGTCTTATATAGTCTCCAAAAGATAAACAAGTCTCATATAACAATACAAGACTTAAGTAGAAACAAATTTAAATCCGCAAAAAAACGTTTTTTTTTTAAAAGACAACTCCCGCGTTAGGAATAGCTATATCCTGTCTCGCGAGGGACTTTACAAACATACATGAAACGGACACAAAGAACACCCAGACTGAGAACAACAATTTGTGGATCGCACAAAGTGTAGTCCCATGTGGGGATCGGACCCACAGCAGTTAGCGTAGTAGTAAGCGGCGTGGCGACCGCTTAAACCACTACACCATCCGTCAGAAAGCCTACTAGTCAATTGTGGATTACATAGAAGACAACAGTGGGCTAGTGTATTTTTTCCTTTTTTTCGTTTTCGTCACTTTCACTTCTATTTCACCCCTTGGAAACGGGCGTTTATAGATCGGCACCACAATTGGGACAGGCATATATGTAATTGATTGATTTTCGATAGATATAATTTTTTTGAATTTATTTTGCTAAATATTTGTCAAATCAGAGATTGTTGCTATTGTGTGTGTTGATCTATGACTTTAGAGTACATACGTAGGTCACTATATAAATTTAAGACACGCAAAAAGTAAACAATAAATACATATAATTTATATCATATTTTTTCAAATTACTCTCCATCACTCTCTATACATGTTTCTATCCACCTAAACCAGTCTTGGAAACAACTATTCTATTCTTCCTCCGAAAGGTCAAAAATAGCTGATTCGTAGGCAGCCAACCAAAGACTGCAAACTTCAAACTAATCTTAGTTTGAGACCAAATGGTGACTATGAAAGCTTATACTGTGAATTTTATTTTGTAAATCCGTACATATTATATACAGAAAACACGCTTACTCCGAAACAAATATTTGCAGTCGTAAGTATAAACATTTTGTTCAACTTTTTCTTGAAAAGAATTTATTCTATCTCGCCCTCACAAAATCCTGGTTTGTACAACTATGGAATGCGAACACAAGATAATTAGTACTCTTCTACTTCTACTCTCGTATCTCTATCATAATGTTTGTGTTACCGATGTGTTATCTTAGCGTTTTTCATCAGGTTAATTGTAACGCGACAGTTGGGATTGTTACAACGCGACCGTCCTTGGACCGCCATAACAGTGAAGACTAAGCAAGCGACTACATCTACACTCAACATCATGACCTTAGATGCTATGCAACTTAAAGAGGAAGGTATTTTATTTTGTTTTTTCTGTTTTAAATACCATAGCCATTGTATTTAGTAGGCAAACCGTAGCTGCTGGGAGACTGCAGGGTCCTGATCAACGGAGGCGACCCTTTTCTTTAGGGAATTGACATTTGTCAACAATGTTTCTTCCCAAACTATTCAATTGACCGAACAATACTGGTTCCTGTACAATATTTTTCTTTGACTAAAATCTGTAATGTCCGGAATATGTAAATGAAATTCACGTTGATTTTTTGTATTATTTATGTAATCCCTATGATTTCTAAATAGTGGTATTGTGAATACACCAATATAAACGGTAAAAACATATGTTACCTCTAGGTTTTCTCGATGAAATGGAGTACCGCATGCTATTGCATGCAATCCAAGATAAGATTCAGCTTTGCAGACACAAAGGAAGTTTGGTAGCACCTTCTTCTCCAGAGGTTAGAACTGTTTTATACGCGGTTCCCGCAGTATCACCACCACCAACAATGTTTTTGGCATCTTTTGGCAAGCATTCGGACTACAATCATTAACAGTTTTGCTAAAAACTTGTTTTGCCGTCAGTAATCCTTCACATATTAAAAAATATATATTTGTTCAGCCAATGTGATAAACAGACATGCCGTTTTTTATAAATCTGACAATGTTTTTTAATTTTACAAAGCCATCTGTGTTTAACCATCGTTACTATAATAGCAATAATTTATCTAGTTCACAAGATAGGGTTTATAAGACTAGTTGATTACTTTGAAGTCCAGTAGTAATAATTTATCGGATCAGGAGTTTTATTTTACAGACTCAACTCCGTGCGGTGTCATGGCTGCAAGGAAATGAGAGGATAGCTGACTTCTTCCTCGAAAACTCGGAGATACTCAACCATAATATTAATGACGTGTTAATATCAAGAGGTTAAAACAATTTGTTTTCTATTATTGGCATATATTTAACTCTTTGATGAAATTGAAAAAGTTTGCCTAGGTAATGGGTTAACCATCAACGCGATTTAAAGAGGAAATATGTGATCTATACTTAGTAAAACTGTTTAAATTGAGTTATGAAATTATCTTGCAAATGGAGTAAAAGTTCTTCTTCCACTCTTTCAGGTGATGAGCCCAAAGGCCTTTACATTCTAGTTTCGGGTCTTCTAGAAGCTTCTTACATACCTCCTGAAGATGATATAGATGAAGCTGTACCTAATTACGAGTTCATGACTGATCTGAAGTTTGGAGAACCGAGTCAGGATTTTATAGTGTCTGGGAACGCTGTTGGAGTTTTAGGGGTAAATATGATCGCTTGATCTCTTAAATTCCTTACTTTTGTAAGTCTAGAATCAAAAAGGCAACACTTATGTATACTATCGTATACTATATTGCACGGTGGCAAAGCAATGGCCAAAATAGATGCCCTTTCACTAAATTGTATTTATTTATTAAATGGCAAAGACAAAATTTTAATTCTTAATATTCCTGTTGTACTATAATCATCATCATACGTTGTAAGGCATATTGGCCGATTTCTTTCTCTGCCTGAGGCCAACCCTCTTTGATAGTATGATGTAAAAATTCCCTGTTGTCTTGTATTTTGTAAGTCTCGGGGCCGAAATGGAACTGAGTCTGTAGTAGCTATTTGTAGGTCGATACTCCTGATGCAAATTTAATTTTTACTTCTCCTCTCATTGCGTATCATAAGAAGCTGTATTAGAAAATTTGGTGGTTTTATTCGATTTGAGACGGTACGACTTTCCGATTTTACTAAGACTACCTGGATAGGGTTGCTACATGTCTTATCTTATAAGGTGATTCCCCTAAAATAGTTTTAACTACAAAATAAGGGGACAGTCTGTATACAACAGGTGCTAACAAGTCGTCCGTACAGCTATACTGTGAGGTGCGACAGTGCTGTTCAGGCTTACTACATTACCCTTGCTGTCATCAAGGAGGCCTTCAACTTGGCATCACATCCTATTATGGGGTTAGTTTGTCATAATACTAATGTTCATAGTCTGTGCTATTATATGTGCCATATTATGTCAGCTGAAGTCTGCGACCGACAGCGAGTAGTTACTATTAGTAGTTTAATTGGCGTCATAAAAGCAAAATTTTTTGACAATTGACTTGTGACTCTTGAGTTGCAGGCCTTCATGGGCGGCGGTAGTCACTTTCCATCAGGTGACCCGTCTGCTCATTTGACCCCTATATCGTTAAAAAAAAAATAGGCCACGGGAGCTAGGGTCATGGACAGGAGAAAACATTCAGATTCAAGCTGATATTTACGTCTACAGTTTCGATGATCTGGTTTTAAAATCTGTTAGGCTTGAAGCTGCCATGTGGCGTGAGATTGGCATAAAGTTTTCGATGATTTTACTGCCATCCGTACCTGCATACTACGCGTGGACCTCTGAGAGGCTCAGTATGAGACTCGAGCATTCTTTCGTACCTTGTCTGAAAGCATTCAAGGTAAGTCATGAAGTTTTTTTAAAGCTGTTTTTATTGTCGTGAAGGTTGTGAATGAGTAAATCCCTTTGTTTGGTGAATTTAACCCATTATAGATTTGAGCAAGTTTTACTTTTGCAGACTGCGCAAGCCAAAAATAAAACATGCTCAAATCTTTTGGATACTTCATTTGCAAAAAAAAAACTCTTTTTGAGTTTAATAATAAAGTAACATTTACACTTATGATTTCGGGACTCAGTAGAATGGTTAGAATAAAAGCAAAGTCGAGGTAGTAGCAAGCATACCCTTGCATTCCAACTAGTGACTAGAGTTGCCATAGCTTTACTGACTGACCAACGTACAAATGTTGTCTCTTACACCGATAACCTACTTGAAAGCTAACAGCTCTTCTGAGGACGAACTGCTATGAGCACACTGTTATGGTTGCTACTTCACTCGTTAAATTTGTAACATAATGTACCTATAATAATATGCTTTCTCAAGAACTAATCTATCTTAAAGAATTATTTAAAGTATACCTATTATATTAGGATAGATCAGTTTCAGGTTCTAAGTAATATTAAATTGAATAAATATTAAGATTGGCTCAATTCCGATAAGCTGGAATTGCTAATCTGTCATTATATTGCTAAATCGGGCAGGTTTTTGTTGTCAATGAGCTGATGGAAGACATAGTGCTAATCGATGGGGTATGTCAGGATATGGCAACTAGAGAAGTGTTTCAACCGCCGGCGTATATACCCAGGTAAGTTTATAAATGAGGCGAGTAATTATTCAAGGATATTCCGTTACAGTCTGTGGTGGTGAACGGGTAGGCCCCTAACAGTGGAACAGAAATACTTTTGTTTAAAATCTAATTATGTGATATGTCAGACTAAGTATGGGCGAATCTATTAGCATCAACAACCCCCTAAGATAGATTTATAGGGCTATTGAACGCATAGTTCTGCCGTTGCTATGGGATTTATGGCTTATTGTTTCATTTATAATTTAATCTCTTCTATTTTTTCCGCACTAAAACAAATGGTCATGCAAAAATACGGTATTAAAGTCAAGATCTGTCGTAATTTACAAGAACGGTAATAAATCTACTTTATTCCTTCAGAACAGCTCACCGTTTGATTTTTCCCAAGTCCTCTCAGCTGATGGTGAGCTCCAACTGCCCAGAAACTAAACTCCTTATTATTCCATCTAAGGACTGCGATGAAATGGATATTATGGAGGATGAGCTAGATGACCTACAGTGTGAATTGGTAAATTAAAATCTCAAGCCCTTTAACCACCAGGTGCAAATCATACGGTTGTACCACCCTTGTTATAAGTTTAAACTCTAACCAGTCATGGCAGAAAAAAAAAAAAAAAATTAATCAAAGCGGTGAGTGATTAATAGGTTAAGTTCTGAGGTGGTATAGTGATAAAGTATTTATCTTCCTTTCAATAAATGGGATTACAGTAGTAGTGATGAATACTTCACTGTTCAAAATTTTCGATGGTGTGAATTCTCACGTCAAATACACAATGTAGTTTAAATAGTTTGGTCTTCTTACTCAGGATGTCTTCATTAAGAATCCAATTTATTTCACGGATGGCGTAGTGGCTTAAGCGGCCACCTAGCCGCTTCTTACTGCGTTAAGTATTTGTTGTTCGAGTACGGGTGTTCGTTCGACGGGTGTCGTGTTTGTAATGGCCTCCGCGACACAGGAAATTCCCTAGGTGGCTTTTAATAAAAAGAGAGATAATTAAAACATGATAACAATAAATCAAAAACAGTAAAGTTGGTTGATGTTGTGTAGATATCGAATGTATCATCTCGCTGCTTGTACCACCGAGTGGCTCGGCGCGTGTCGAATGAGTCGCGGGCGCCGGGCACGCGACGTGCGCGGGTCAAACGACGCCGCGCACCGCGCCGCGTCAACTACAGGGAGTCTGTGTTTGCCAAGCAACAGATATGTTAGCACTTTTATATCTACAACGTATTGTCACGCTGTCTGCACTATTATAAAGACAGAACACGGTAATGACTTTTTAACCGTAGCAGAGCCTCGACCCATTTAGGCTTCGGCTTATCTGTGTAATAAACTTTTGTTACACTTCACCGTGGAAGTTGACGGGCTGTTGGTCTAGTGCTTAGTGACCCTGACTGTTAAACCGGAGGTCGTGGGTTCGATTCCCACCCAGGACAAATATTGTGTGATAAGCACGATCATTTTTTCTGTATCTAGGTGTAATTTACCTTAGATGTATGTATTTGGAAATATATAAGTGTTTATCAGCGGTCTGGTCACCATAGCAGAGGCTCTGCCTAGATATACCGTGTGTAAGATGTATGTAATTATTATTGTAATGATTCAAATTTGAATAAAAATATCATCCCAAAGGGTGGAAAATTAAGGGATGCAGAATTCAGGTTGTAGGATGTAGGCGCAATAACATTTCAATTATGTATGGGGTCTACCAATAAGAACGTCCTGGTTTAAAAATTGAATAAAACACACAATTTTTTATGAAAAATGCATCCGATTGATTTATTTGATAGATAATTTTATGCAATTTATGTTTTAAATAATATATCGGCCAAATGACCGCCGCGGCTCTTTTTGCAGACGGTCACCCGCTCACGCCAATTTTCGATGACGCGGTGCACCATTTCGGTCGGAATGTCTGCTATGGCTCGTCGAATGTTGGTTTTTAGGTCACGAATTGTAGCTGGATTATTGGTGTACACTAAAATGGAGACTTAAATGAAATATTAAATCTAAAATAGCTATAGTCGTTTATATGGAATATCCAATATATTACTTTTTACATGTTACAGCGTCCCAGATCATAGTAGGAGCTAGCAGCGACAAAGACATCGCTGCTAAGTATTACAAACCGAGTGCTGTCGATGTTGTAAGTGTATTGTTTACGTAGCGCTATAATTACAACACCCTCCAGCAACCCCCCAAATATTAGGGGGTTAATTTTGAGAGGCAACAAAGTACGGTAACGCACTTCTGTCTCTTAAGCTGTAGGTGTACATCTGCTTGTTTGCCCCCTAAACTATAAAATAATAAATATAAAAAATGTATTTTACATTTTTTGTTTGTTGTTCAAAAATTCCCAACGCGCCTTATGAAGTTTTCACTTCAAAAGACAGTGGCACTCCGGGAAGTGCCGACAGAAGTGAAAACTTATATACAGAGGTGTCGGTAAAGGTTAGTGTCGCAAATTGAATAGTTTTTTCCCATAAAATACATTATTTTGTATGTTGTTCAAAAATGCCCACCGCGTCCAAAAAACCCAATTCGTCAAAAATACCCAATTCTCTCGCTCTATGATCGTATTTTCCCGAACAGCAAATATATCATTTATAAACATATTATTTCCAGTCCGACAAAGCGAGAGCAGATGCCGCAAGGATTCGAGGTGAGGTTACATCATTAACACCGTATCTATAAATCGTCCAAATAAAGATAAATTTATTCTTAATTAAATGTTGCTTTTCTGTACTTCGGGAATAACATTTTTTTCGGGTGAAAGGTTAATACCTTTGACCCGAAAAAAATGTTCACTTAGTGGTTAGAGGTCCTGACTGCTAAACCAGAGGTAGTTGGTTCGATTCCTACCCAGGACAATTATTTGTGTGATGAACACGATCATTTGTTCCATGTCTTTATCACACACAATATCAAACACATGTCTTTATCTAACACATACATATTTTATATGTATGTGTTTAGTACATATTTTATATGTATGTGTTTAGTACATATTTTATATGTATGTGTTTTGTAATTTATAAGTATGTTTATCAGCAGTCTGGTTACCATAATACAGGCTTCCGCCATCGTTCACACGGCAATACTTTCATCCCTATCACTTGGATAGTTGGCGCTCAAGAAAAGAGCATACTCCTTCCTAAAAGGCGGCAACGCGTTTGTGATTCCTAAGTTGCAGACGTTCATGGGCGGCGATGGTGATGTTCACTTTTCATCAGGTGACCCGTCTGCTCGTGGGGGTCGCTATCTTACTAGAATATGCTATAAATACTTATAAATCACACCTGGACTACATCTTGTTATGGAGTGTAGAGGCAAGGAGAACCATGTCTGTGTATGAAAGTTTCCGTAAAAGCGTGTCCAATAAGGGTTGTGCTGCGGTAACCAAGGATAATTTTTTATTGGATTAAATATTAATATTAGACACTGTGAACTAGACTGCAAAAATAGTCAATGAGTTTTACAGATATTAAATAAACGAATAATAACTTTCAGACAATAAAAATTAAAAATATTATAATATTTTAACTCTGCACACTTCACTCAACAGCTATGTTCATATCGTAGTTTTTCGTACGCCAGCGACCTCTATTTTCAGTATACAGCTGGACACTTTTTCAACTCTCCCCTTATAAGAGATAGTTCTCCTTGGCTCTACACTCCATACCTCTTGTGTACCAAACCTGTCCAATTCCTCTGAACTCTAACTAAAATCTGGAAATTTTTTTTGGACATCTGACACACAACGCCGTCTAGCTTCAAGCTAAGCAGAGCTTGTACTATTAAAGCTAGATTGACTGATATAATACTTAAATTTTGTAAATACGTACATATTATATACAGAAAACACCCAAACTCCGAAAGAAAGATTAGGTCTTTACATATGAAATTAGCGTTTTGTCGTACTGACCACTTTGATCTGAAATATCGCCTATTTGGTTAAGAATTCCAAATTCAAATTTATAAACTCATTTAGCTGGTACATTTAAGTTTTGAAAACAGTCATTCATTTGTTTTTTCCTCATTATTTTTTTCTTTTGCGTCGCTTATTACCGCACAATGGAAAACATGAAATATCGGTATATTTACGAGTACGAGTTCTACCATGGCACCAGTGCTGCAGAAACAGCTCGAAGAATTAATGATGTGTACGGCGCTGGTGTCGCAAAAGAAAGCACTGTACGTTTTTGGTTTCAACGAGCTACAATTGGAATGTCTGCGACATCCACCGTACTCTCCGGACCTTGCTTCAACTGATTACAATTTTTTCCGGAATTTGGACAACTTCTTTCAAGGAAAAAAATTTAACTCCAATGCGGCAGTCCAAACCGCCATCAAAGAGTTTATTGATTCTCGCTCCCTTGGTTTTTTTAGTAAAGGGAACTACTTATGAGATGGCAAGGGCACAGATAACAACGGTGCATACTTTGATTAATTAAATATATTTTACAAAAAAAAAAGACTTTATATTCCACCCGTAATCAAATCAGATCATACAAACATTTGATCCGACCCGGGAATCCAACCCGAGACCTCAGCATAGCAGTCCCATACGCTACCACTGCATCAGCGAGACAGTCGTATAATATAAGATCACTGTCTATAACATGTATAACCCATAGAAATAGTAATAATAAGACTCCAGAAATCACATAGACGCTTGACCTTGTCGCCGCAATTAGGTGTAGACTAACACCACTTACAAAAATTCACACCATTCGTGATTTAGTTGCGCAGTGCGTCGTATGTGAATTTATATTGCTAAAATGGTGAACTGCAATTTAACTAATAAAGGCATAACATTTCATCGGTAAGTTTATTTTTACTAAAAAATCATTGTTTTTACTAATTTACATCTCGATGAATCCTTTAATAAAATATCTGTCTCTGTAAACATTCATTTATTACTTTCCGTTTTGTACAATTACTATTGGTTCTTATTGCACGCGATGTCAGTCAAAATCACGCCCAAAGGAGTCGGTTACAAACAAACATACAAGTGAAGCTAATATAAAGTGTGTAAAAAAGGAAACTACTCTGTGTATTACTTACTTCTAAATAACTTATTTCTGCATTAATATAAATCTAATTGTTGCGTGAAAGAACTATTTGTTCAGTAGTAGCTTATTTTTTTTTTTTTTGTTCTTACGAGTTTTAGTGGTAATATTTTTTAATTCATCAGATTTTTTAAAATTATAATATTTCGGACATCTAACACAACGACATCTAGTTTCAAACTAAGCAGAGCTTGTACTATGAAAGCTATATTGACTGATAGAATACTTATATACTTTTTTTTGTAAATACATACATATTATATGTACATAGAAAACACCCTAACTCCGAAACAAATATTATTATTATTATAATAGGTACTATTCATTTATAAGTATCAATGCTGTTACAATATTTAAAAAAATAGTATATTTCTATGGTTTTCATTGCTACTTGTAATCCTTTGTATTTAAATGTCTTCGAAAAATTTAGTCAATTCCTAGCATTGTTTACAGGGATTCTGAGACATCGAGGAAGATTGTAGTGGTGCCACATAATATATTGGAGTAAAATGCAATGTAATGTGTGTGTACGAGTCTTATACCTATTTGTTAGTATTTTGTGTATTTGTTAAGATGTGACGACATTGGTTTTGGCAGTAATCGGGCGATAATTAATTTCCAGTGTCTTATTATTACAATCGTAATAATAAGACACTGTGGTATAACCCGTATGTTACTCGTCCGTAGAGGTACGTAACGCTGAAGCCGCATCTGTCTTCCCACCTCCGACGAACGCGAACACTTCCCTCATCAATGTTAACTCAGAGGAAGAGGTAACTATCAATATTTCACTTGTTTTGAAAGAAAAAATATAGGTATCATACATTCAAATATACACATCTACACGCATAAAGATGCACAGACAAACATGCATAAAATACTCACAAACACACACACATACAACAGGTCAACAAGTAAATGTTTTGATAGAAGCAAAACTGCGACGCCATAGATTTATTTGTTTATGAAACATAAAAGAAAAAGAAGCTGATTAGATTTTAAGCAATGAAAAAATATGTTTAGTATTAGAAAGAACTTTGTTTGATAACCTTGTAATGTAAACACTTCGGAAGCCAACCCAAGACACTTTTCACTTATTGTTTAACATCTCATAAAAGATTTTAGTTTTTTTTTCATGTTTAATATTTTTCCTCTCGTTTCCCTGTAATCTGTGAGAGTAATTTCGTTTAAGGGATGGAAATGTGTAACAACAAGCCGCGGAAGCGCGCGCTTTATTATTTGACAATATTCGAGCTTGAGGTGCTAAAGTTGGCGGGTAATATTTCGCTCTTTTTACTTCTGCGTCATTGTCGGTAACATAATAATCTTTAAAAATATAAAATAATATTGCAAAATAAACTGAATTTATTTAAATTCTTTTAACTATGTTATGTGTTTGATTTAAATAAGAATTTAGTATTTTAGTACAATCACCAACGGCGAATGATATTTCTACAGAAGGAAAATGACGCAGAAAAATAAAGAATTAAAAAAAATGAATATTCACCCTAGCCATTAGATGGTAGGTAAGATGTGAGATGATGGACATCATATTATGTGACCAAAACTTTTTTTGACACGCTGAAGAATAAGCTTTATGAATCTATAATTTTATCACGGTACAATTATAATACAGTAGTGTAACTCGGCCGCATGATAGAAATAAATGCCTACAGCCGCGCGGTACGTAAACATGCGTTAGGGCTGCCCGTCTCCAGCATTTTAATTATATTTGCCTACTTTCTGTTTCTATTTAGATTTGTGATTGTAAATATCCTTTTTATATAAATAAATGAAATACTTTGTATATTGAATAGGAAGTGTTCAATAAAAATGCGTGTTGTTTTTTGATTGGTAGATTTAATTAAAAAAACATGTTTTTGTTTGAAAAACAAATCGGGCTTATAAATTTGCGACCGAAAAAAATCCTTCTATAAAATAAAATAAATGTGCTTTCTCCTTACGCGTTACAAAACTCCAATCCTTAGAAACTCCAACACCTACCTACTCAACTAGAATGCAAGAAACAGCTGACGAGTAAGTAACTTTTTATCTCAGCTTATTAACGTCTCTATAAATTAGGTACCTACGTAGGTAGGTACCTTTAAAACTCGCAACAACTCAAAACAAAAATTCTTTGGTCACCAATTAATTAATTATTAAAAAGCGGAACAGCTGACTACGAATGTTTTAAAATCACAACCCTCAAACATCTAAATATTATATATGAGTCTAGCTGTTGTTGTTAATACCGAGAAAATAAAACCAGTTTTTAGTGGTATATGTTGTTATAGTAGCAGCAGAAACACTTTGTGAAAATTTCGAAAACTATCTTATGACACACAGACGGTAAAAAAAAATCTAGTATTATTCATACACACAGATAATAAACAAATATTGTTAATAATAAAATACCACGTCTTTACTTTGAATTATGCAAAGTAACAAAACACACGTGCACCGAAGTTTTAACACAAGCGTAAGTAGGTAGGTACCTACCGTATCATGATTCATTCAGAACCGCATATAACTACCTATTTCACTCGTCTCAATAACTTTCCGTTACTCTATTCGCTTTATTTATTAATCCAAACACCTTTTCTTCGTGAGATAAAAGGAAAT